TTGAGCTGCTAAACAAGTGGCAGGGAGTGTGGACGTAATGTATGTAGAGTCAAATATTGTGGCGGCACGTTAGCCCATCTCTCAAACTTTCGATCCAGCTGTTTTTTTTTGACTCAGTATGTTTGACAGAGGGACAGTGGGTTGAAGAAACAAAATATACAATTTAAATTAGACTGAAGTGTTGGGCACATTGGAAATATTCAACATAAAGTTTAGAAGAACACATGTCTAAAGCCTCACCTGTAGAATCCGGCATTTCAAACATCGTATCGATTCCCATGGCATCCATTTTCTTCATCCAGTGCATAAAACCAGGCGAACCGGGAACCGGAGGTGAATTTCTCGGCATCATTCCTAAAATACAATAGGGAAACTATCAGAAATTTGTCCAGTACCATAAAGTGTTAACTGCCAACAAACATCAGAATCATTAACGTAAATGATCCCATTGGTATACAGAATGTAACAGTGAACCATGGAGTATAAATAAAGAACCCAAATACTAACGATCCAAACCGCAAATCAAAACCTGAATTTCAAAATAACATATTGGCAACACATTGGAAGCAACAAATGAACTTCTAACATGAGGAAGTGTATCAATCATAGAAGAGGAAGTATATCACAATGAAAGTGGTATAATGTATAAGATGAACTGAAACGTGGCATCGACACCAATAGTGAGAAAGGCTAAGAGTTAGTCTAATTAAGGATCAAATGTACCTGAAGACTCTCTGGATGACGCTTAAAGTTTGGGCGTTAGATAGGTAGCCTGCTATTGGTTTTAATCAAAACCACTATCGCTATATTTAATGAATCGGATCACTAAAGTTCACTTACCGTGCATTGCTGGTCTTGCTGGAGGACCTCGTCCTCGCAAACCACCACTGGGTGGTCTAGAAGCTTTATTAGATGTGCGAGCTCGTTTCCGCGAGCTTCTAGGCATTGTACGGTCCCATCGGCCAATCCCTAAAAAATGAGGGTCGGCAAAGTGGGACCCTCCTTGGTAATGGTAAGGAGGGTTTTGATACTGGTCGACAGGGGGTCCGTAATTTGAATATTGCTGGTTGTAACCTCCTGGTTGTTGATTGTACGAGTTGGATGGCGACATGCCTTGGGCATAAGGGTCAGCATAAGGGCCGGGCTGATTGTTACTCCCCGGGGGTGCCATACCACCAGGACCATGAGGATCCATTGCTGGATCATAGGGTTGTTGGTTGTGCATGTTTCTGTCCGGAGGTGGAGGGTAGTCGTATCTAGGTGGTTGATCGTAAGGGTGATACTGGCCGTTCGGAGGAGGCTCAGGGTAATATCCCGGACCTCTGTAATCGTGGGGACCATGGAACGGAGGTTGACCCCCTTGCATATGTGGAGGGCCACCAGCGTGGTGGTTATGTGGATCATGAGGTGGACCCATGTTATGATGTCCTGGGCCTCCACTATGATGTCCTTGACCTCTAGTATGATGTCCTGGACCTCTGTTATGATGGAAACGGTCTCTGTTGATGTGCTCCGGGGCTCCATTATGATGTGGTGAACGTCCATTTTGGTGTTGCGGACCTACATTGTGGTGTCCTGGGTCTCTGCCTGTCTGA